AATAGTGAGGTCTGGGGATTATTTTCCAACTTCTATGAATAGTAGAAATTTGTATAGTATCTATGCTAGATCTAATTAAAATAACATAAAATTTACCATTTTAACAATTTTCAAGTGGACCACTGAGTGCCATTAAGTACATTCATATTGTTGTGCAAGCATCACTATCATTTATCTACAGAACTTCATCTTCTCCAAATAAAACTTCATACTTCTCAGTTAAGCAATATTTTACCATTACTTCCTCACTCTAGCGTCTGATAACCACTATTCTACTTTCTGTCTCTATGAATTTAACTATCTTGATATAAATGGAATCATACAGTATTTGTGCTTTTGTGTCTGGCTTATTTCACTTAGCACAATGCCTTCAAGAATTATCCATGTTATAGTATGTATCAAAATTGTATTGCTTCTTAAGGCTAAATAATAGTCCATTTTTTGTATATACCACGTCTTCTTTATCCTCTCATCTGCTAATGGACATTTGAATTGTTTCTACCTTTTGGCTACTGTGAATAATGCTGCTATGAATATGTACAAATTTCCATTTCAGCCCCTGTTTTCAACTTTTGGGTGAATATACCTAAAAATCAAATTTCTGGACCATATGACAATTCTATGTTTAATTTTTTGAGGAAGCACCATACTCTTTTTTCTACATAGGCTATACCATTTTACACTCCCATCAGTAACTCACAAGGGTTCTAATTTCTCCACATCCTTTCGATTTTTTCCTTAACAAGGTTAATTACTTCATATGGCAATTTTTCTAAAACGTATCACTCACTTTCTAGCCTTCTTGAAAAAATAATACTGAACAAAATTTAGCCTTTTTTTTAAATGAACTATACAATTGTTGCCTCCTCAGGAGCTACTGCAATATATTTTTATCTAGTAACTATTTTGTTTGATGACTATTTTATTTAATAATTATTCTCAGCTATTTTCATGGATTAGATCAATCCTTTCAATCTCCTGTGAAATATCATCTCCGTTTCACAGAAAAGTAAATAGTATGAAGAAGTAAAGGAATTTTTCCAAGATCACACAGCTAGTAATTGAGGACAGCAGGATTCAAAGTCCATGTCTTTACACATTTTGCTAGACTCCTAACCATCTAAGAATGTTTGTCTCTGTATTTAATGTCCCCAAATTAATACTGTACACTCTTAGAAAATTTGTGCATGTTATTTAATGTTTTATTCTGTTTTTCCTTCTGCTTGTTACTGTTGTAAAAGCAGCTACCTTCAGCCATTTTCTCCTCTGCAACCCACATGTTGATACTGATATCCTGTAATCAAGAAAAAAGAGATAGAAGAGAGAGCTAAAACTGCATGAGAAATCCAACTGCACAGATTTGAGAGAATTTTAGGGATCAACCTCAGGAGAAAAAGGAATGAGTTTAGGTATTTGGCTTTCATGATAACTATTTTGGTAGTTTGATGGTCTGTTTGGCTTATTTCTGGCTTTCCTCTTGTGTTCCAGGTGCTGTATGAATGAATATGAGTGCCTGCTCTTATTCCTACTTAAATTGTGTAATCTGGTATAAATTATTTTTTGAAAATTTGCCCAAAGTAATAAATATCCTTTAGGTGTATGATATTCTCTTTTAAAAAATATCTACTTACTATATTCATGATATACACAGAGAGAGACTCAAGGAAAAGATTTTTGATATTGCAACTGTCTTGTCCTACATCAAAACTATTCAAACTATAGAGCTAATGACCACTGATCATAGACGCCCATCAACATCAGCCTGGGATATCTTTACAGAAATTTTTTATATGCTATAGATATATTTTCAGGAAAGAATAGATACATGTTTCTTTCCTTTTGTAACATGTATATTGTGAAATAATAAGCATTTAACTTTTTGAAATCAAACATCCTGCCCAATAAAGTAGGAGTCACTATAAATAAATATAACAGTGAGTCGTGTGTATCAAAATCCTTTTATTTGAAGTAAATCACCAGTACCAACACATTACCCCATTTCACATCAATATCTGCTTTTCCAGAAATCAAAGTTTCTCTATATAAACATTTCTTAAAGAATTTTTTCACATCTTTAAGATTTTTCTAGAAAATAGGTGAAAAACAAGAGTAAAGCTGAAAGAACATTTTTCACTCAAAATACCAAAGGGAAAGATAAACAATTTCTATAGAAAACTTCTACCTATCCATATCCCTTTAAGTCCAGTTATAAGTGTGTGATAAATGTTAGTTTTCTACTACTTGGTTTATAGCTAGTTTCCCTGTAAATACTTTGAGCAACTTACACAACAAAATCAGATTGGTGGCAGTGCGAGGCGGGGTATAAAGGAACAAAACTACATTCCCAGAGAGCTGAACTAGTTGATCGGAATAGCAATTATTTTATCCACAATTTTGTGGCTGTAAGTAATTAAAGCTGAAAGAAAATAATGTCAGAGTGTTCCATTATTTCTTTTAAAAATGTACTCCTCAAATCTACAAGTTTAAAGATACAAAACCTTTGAAAAGTGAAATAAGTGTTAGTCATTCAGAAATGTCCAACTCTTTGCAACCCCATGGACTATAGTCCACCAGGCTCCTCTGTCCATGAAATTCTCCAGGCAAGAATACTGGAGTGGGTTGCCATTCCCTTCTCCAGGGGATACTCCCTGACCCAGGGAGCAAACCCAAGTCTCTTGCATTTTGCAGACAGATTCTTTACCATCTGCGCCATTAGGGAAGCCCTCAAATCTAGAAGTTTAATGAAACAAAACCTCTACTGGATGTCAAAATTTGATCATTTTTTATAATAACCTCTGACTAAAATAGTAGTATTGTTAATATCAACAAATATACTCAAATTCTGAAATGTTTCAATTAACACTTTTAGGAACTTTTTGTAACCAGACCTTACAAATGTATCATAATTCTCTTTGTTTTTGTCACATAAAGAGGTGGCTACGGTCTATAATTAATTGTACCCAGCTTCAACTAAACACACAATCCTGTGCAAGTTAATATCCTTCTGTGTGTGTGTGTGTGTGCAGGTGTGTGTGTGTGAAGTTGCTTCAGTCCTGTCTGACTCTGCAACCCACTGAACAATAACCTGCCAGGCTCCTCTGTCCATGGGATTCTCCAGGCAAATACTGGAGTGAGTTGCCATGCCTTCCTCCAGGGGATCTTCCCCACCCAGGGATCAAATCCACATCTCTATGGCTCCTGCATTGGCTGGCGGGTTCTTTACCACTAGCGCTACCTGGGAAGTCCCAATATCCCTGTAAGTGACCTCTATTCTCCACATTTTGCTTTTCTAAATTCTAACTACTTGCCTCCACCATTCATTGTAGTATTGCTTTATATTATCTTAAATTCTTCTATAATTTTTCACATATGGATTTTTACTGTTAAGTACCACCCATATTAACTAAGACAGGCTGAATGTATAGTGAGATTTAAATAATTTTTTTCCAATCAATAAATAATAAATTTGTCCAAAGAAGAAATTATTGGGACTGAGCATTCTTCAGGGCAATTATAACCATGGGAAATTAGAGCAATAAACCAGATGAATTTTGGATGAGGCCCAGAAGCCTAGGTCTTCAGCTGTGAAACAGCCCTTCAAAATAAAATTAGCTACTTAGAAGCATCTAAACTTATTGGAAGCTGGTATACAATCAACATCCCAAAGTTGAAAACTCTTCACTAAAATACAGTTCACTCTATTTTATTGTGGTCACAAAGTAGCACAAAACATTTAAGGAAAGCTTTGAACATGTAGTAAATAATGTTTGAGGAGACAAAAATCAGAGCAAATATAATGGAATTCAGGATAGAGCTGAAAATGGCAGGACAGCTACTTTGCTTTAATAGAAATTTAATAAATGTATTCTATCAAAAGTTAGAACTGGGCTTCAAGTTACTGGTTTCCAGCTGTTACAGTTAAAAGAAAAAAAAAAAGGAAGGGAGAGAGGAAGGAGAAGTGAAGGGGAAGAAAAAGAGTAGAAAAGATTAAAAAAAAAAAAAAAAAAAAACCTGACATTTTCTTCTGGAGCTCAAGAAACAATCTAACAGGTTTGTAACATTTCACTGAAACCAGAAGCAGAATCATAATGGACTGAAGTCTCAATCAGGCCCTTTAAACATCTGTAGCTTCGTTTAAAATGACTAGGGTGAAATACATCAGCTTACGGAAAATGGGGAGATCTTCCAGGAGTTGGCCTGTGTTCTAGGTGATGGGTGCTGATGAGCAATTCCCTTAAACAACTGATTTACTGCCAGCAGAGAAAAACATTGGAAGCACATCCAAAAACTCATCTGTAATTGAAATTACAAGGGTAGCCATTCTGTCCACCTTCCCCTCCCTTACCAGGGAGGTGACCCTGTTCCTGGCAACCACAAAGGCCACAGAAGAACCCTTCTTTCCCTAAACCCTCTTCTTTTGCCCCAAGAGTCTCTATAAAATCTGCCTTTCTCTGTTTTCCAATCGTTTCCCCTCTCCCTCGTTTTCTTTCTTTCTCTCCTTCCTTCCCTCCCGGCTCGTCGCAAGCGAGACAAAGTCAGGCACAGGCGGCGGGCCCATGTATTCGCTGGCACCATCTGGCACCTGCGATTCATCGCCACTTTCCACCTCCCGGAGGTGAGAGGGGCGGGAGGCCAAGGACACTTGTGTGACCCAGTTTTTAGGAAACTTTCAGTTGGTCGCAACCCTTCCCCCACCCGAAACTCTTCAATCATCCACCAAGCCAGAAAAGCCAGAAAAGCGATCTCTGCCTAGCCTTGGAGTAGGAAAAGAGGCGAAGCAAGAAAAGGCAAGGGGTTCGCCCCATTCCTTTCCCCCACCGCCCAGTAGCGGCGGGCGCAAGCAGCGGTGCGGCCAGAAGGGGCCGCTGTGCGCTCAGAGCAGCAGCCCCACCGCCGCCGTCCGCACCTCCCACGGCCGGGCTGGCCCAGCCCCGCCAAGTTCCAACAGCCCCCAGTCGAGCGAGCGCCGGGAACGAGCACCGCCCGGGCAGAAGCACACGGCGCAGACCAGCCAGACTGAGGCGCGCGGCGGGAAGGCTCCGGCGAAACTCCCACCAGCCGGGGACTTTGGAAAGAAGCGAGCGAGCGGTCCCCGCGCGCGCGAGTCCCCAAGTGAGCGCTCAGCTCACCTGTTTCTGCCGCGCCACCGCCTTCCCACCCCTCGGACCCTCGCCTCCCGAGTCGCCCGCCCGCGATGAATCCGGCGCTGGGCAACCAGACCGACGTGGCCGGCCTGTTCCTGGCCAACAGCAGCGAGGCGCTGGAGCGCGCCGTGCGCTGCTGCACCCAGGCGTCCGTGGTGACCGACGACGGCTTCGCGGAGAGCGGCCCGGACGAGCGCAGCCTGTATATCATGCGTGTGGTTCAGATCGCCGTCATGTGCGTGCTCTCGCTCACCGTGGTCTTCGGCATCTTCTTCTTGGGCTGCAACCTTCTCATCAAGTCCGAGGGCATGATCAACTTCCTGGTGAAGGACCGGAGACCGTCTAAGGAGGTGGAGGCGGTGGTCGTGGGGCCCTACTGACCGGTCCCCGGCCCCCGCAGCAGCCGCCCCTAGCCTCTCCACTTCGCCAGCCCGGCCGCGCCCCCTCACCATGCGAGACTGGGCGAAGCAAACCTGTCGGAGTCAGTTTTTTCTCTCGACTTCTGCCTTCCGGGATGAAGCGAACCCGTTTATCGCTCGCCCTCTGAAAGTCCCCAGGTCTGGCAGTAGGAGAAGAGAGCCCTGACTCTGGACTCAGCAGCAAGTGGCAAGAGAAGGCGAATAGGGCGCAGAACTTTGGAAGCTGCCACTGGCGCAGAATGCGGGGACACCGACCCAGGCCAAGGCCCCTTTCCACCCGCAGGTGGGCCAAGCTCGGGGGGGCAGGTGGAGAGGGCGGGCAGGCAGAGACCAACGGCATCTATTGCCTGGTGACCGGAAAAGTGACCCGCATATACGCCACTTAACCGAACTAACGGGGACACGCAAACCGTGGCCAGGTTCGCGCCCATTCCCTCCCGCTCCTTGCAGCCCTGGCAGGACAGACGATAAAATACCTTTGATTGATTGTAACGTGCCGTTTAAGGGATTTTGTGTGTGTTTGCTTGAATACGAATATTTGATAAGTCTTTTTCCGCCCTAGTGGCCTGTTTCCCTGCCTGGTGGTTAGAGTTTTGTGTTAGGGGAAGGGGTGGGGGGAAGGGGAGCCTGCTAATGTGAATGGAGAACTCCTAGCTCGTGACTGCACGGTTTACACCACAAAAGTGCTCTTGACATTCGTGAAACCGTTTTGACATTTTTTTTTCTTCCTTATTTAAAATTTCCTTAATAAATGCAACGTTTAAGTGTTTTGTTCCTGGCCTCCTGGTGGTCATTCTGCGCTCAGGGCCGAAGGGAATGGGTGACGCTGAGGGGTCAGATTACCAGTCCGAGGTGGAATTCGCTTTGGCGAGCTGCGATTTAACTCGGGGATCCTACACAGGCACGAGGGTGGGAGCCAGACAGAGAGGCCCAGGGACGAGTGCCCTGGCCAAGCCTCAGGCCCTGGAGCCGTCCTGGAGGCAGCATCCTTTGTTTTCCCTTTCAGTTAATATTTTATATTTCATTTACGCTCAGCGCTCTGAGCCAGGCGAGAAAACGGGAGGCCCCCGCGGGAAGATTACACTTCCGTGCAGGGCTCCGGTGGGAACACAGGGTTACACCGCTAATGAAAGGAAGAGACGGCTTGGCTAGTCTTCAGGGAGGGCATCTTCTCCTGACCAACGTCAGCAAGCAGGCGTCAGGATCCTGACCAAAAAAAAAAAAAAAAAAAAGACGAGGAAAAGTAGTTCCCAAAGTAAAGAGTGACGCTGATTCTGCCCGGGGTACACCATTATTACTAAAACAAGACGTATATTGTCTTTGTCATATTACCTTTTATATCTGAAGGGCGAAATTCAAAGATAAACGCGACCTGGGTAATCAGTCCCAGCCCCAGCCAAAAGATTCAGAGGAGTTAATCGAGGTTCTGAATGTCAGAGATGTGTGTAACCCAAACTTGGAAGTTGGCCGGAAAGGAGCTACAGATGGTCTTTGGGCTCAGAAATTGAAGGGGATTTGGAAAGAAAAGCCTGGAAAACTGTGAATATGAAAATAACCCAAAGGATACAATAGCTTCGAGCTGAAACTTGACAACAGTTTTTGAGCAGTTTGTTTTTACACCTGGGGTAGGATCCTAAATATTTTCAAGAATATAAAGAATCCTCTACTATGGTATAGAAATTAAAGGCTTCACTGTAGCAGATATAAGGTGGACTAAAATAAAAACAACAACAATGAAGTGTCCTATTTAATTAAGAGGCACAAGTGGTATAAACAATGTAAGTGTCTGAAGGGTTGGGATCAAATGTTTGTATCCCTTAACATCCTGTCCACTCAGGTATCTGTTTCACTCCCAAAGTAAATCTTTATCTATGTCCGGATATGACATAGAATGTTGGTTGTTTTTTTTTTTTGAATGCTAATAGATATCAGGCTTGAAAAAGAAAGGATTTTGAAGTTTTGCCTATTGTTCCTGTATGTTCAGCAGGTAAGCATTTGCTTATTTTCTTCTGTCTGGGCAGGGGAGCAGGAGCAACATGTATGTAGTCAAGAGTGAGTCATGGAGGGCACTTTAATTTGTTAATAAGTAAGATAGGAAATGGAGACTTTCTATTCTGTAGCTGGTTTCTGTGGCACCAAGTTAATCTGCTGTCTCCATGTTTCAAAGAAAGCAGAACAACCAGTTCACTCAGGGAGAAACCAGACATTTAAAATTAAACTCAGTGTGGAAACTGATTTGGGATAAAAAACCAACCTACTAAGATTCCTACCAAGAGTGTATAGGGATCTTCCGCTGTTCTCTGATGTGTACAAGTTATCTGCTTATGGTGAGTTTCAGACACGGAAAGGTCTCAACCTGCAGGTTAGTTTGCATTTGTATAGAAGAGCCTTTTCTATTTAAAGCCAAATTCCTGAAAATTGGGAGGGGGGGAGCAGCTGCCAGGCCCCCTACTATTCTCTCCTCTACTAATGCTCTTAAATCTCTGCTATCACTATGGTCTTTCTCCATCCTTTTTTCCTCTTAATACTTCTTCACAGCACTTTCCTCTTCCTTGCATCTCAAAGGCAAAATTTATAGTTTTTCCTTAACTATCCAAATTTATAGTTTTTCCTTAACTATCCAGATTTATTGCCTTAACCACCAGAAACTGTGATAGTCGACAAATCAGAACCTGCAAAATTTAGCCCTTAAATAGAAAAGTTATGTGAACAGAGTTCTGTAATCCATGATCTATGCATTATAGGCAAATGCACATGATCTGAAAATATCATAGCCCTGGGGACCATTTCCTGCCAACAGCTCCTCTCTACAGCCTTTAGATCCATTTGTTACTTAGATGCCAAGTAATTCTGGTTTTTATAGATGAGGCAATGTGTGCAAGAAGCTTTTTACACTCCCTATTCCCCGATGACCACACGGCAACCACTTTCTCAGGCCCCACACCACTCCCTGTCTTACTCTGCCTTTGATTGTCTTTTATCTTGATCCTAACAAATGCATTAAGTGAAACTTTTAAATCCTGCCTAGTGTTTATGGGGCATTGATCCTTTCTTACAGGTGTGCTGCAAGAAAAGTAAGCTTTAAAAGTCACTTTCTGAGTTTCATGGAAGAAAACAATGTTGGACGTAAGAGATTGGGAATTGAGAGGGATAGATGCACACAGGCAGATTTTATCATCCCACACTTAAGTCCACCATGTGGTCAGTAATTAGTGGGAAGTCCTGAGAGAGAGAGGCAGAAAGATGGCTTCCTGTAAAAACTCGCTGGCTCTGGCAGATGGTCCATGGGGAGGCATCTGATACTTTCTGAAACCCTTCTGGAAATACAGCAGAAACAGGGAGAGGATTTCATGAGACACAGCAAGTGGATTAGCAGGGTTGTAACCCCTCAGGCTGTGCAGACAGCCCCGGATGCCTCCGAGCCTAACTGGGTGGCCACTACCTAAGTAGCTTAGCCAATTGTTAGTAAATGTTATTTTTCTTAAGATTGTTGCTATGACTTTACACTTTCTCTGAAAATGTATAAGGACTTGCATGTTGAACCACTTTAGGCCTGCTTGAGGGAAGTCTAAGCATAACATCACATTATTGTGTTAAGTCTGAGACATGCTGGCTGGTGATGGATGATCCCTGCGCCTGTTTTCTGATTTTCAAGCCACCCTGGCTTCTCAAGGGATCCTCAGTCAGTCCTGTTATCATGTCTTCTTACACTAATTCTGAGTGAGGGAGGAAAAGGCACACTGGATGATGATGTAAGAAAGTTTGCTTCTTACATTTGCTTCTTACAAGTTCTCTAAGTAACAGAGCAATCAGCCCTAAAATGAGGAAGATGTGTTCTGAAAGGACATTCCTATTCTATGATTCTATTGAATTAGTTTACTATTCCTATGTCTCTTAACATGTTTCTCAGCTCACTTCAATAGGTATCTTAGAAATCTATTTTGCCTTTCCAGTCTTGTTCTTTTAGGTAGGAAACACCCTCCCCCTAAAGTCCCAGTGCTCCTCAACACAGGATGTTATTTACAACAGCCAAAGCAAAATTTCAGACACCTAGCCAGGCCTAGGTAGATAGCAGTTTCTATGCTGACAAGTCACACATAATCTAACTAGTGCCTTAAATATCCCAGATCTCTGTGTTCTCACTGGAGGAAGCAATGAAAGGAAAATCCAGTGAATTGGGGAGCATGTGATTAGCAAGTGGTTCCTTTAACTCTGTATACACTTAGACTAATGTGCATTTTTGTTTGCAGAAACTTTCGGGTGTTCAAAGACTAATTAAACAGCCACTTTTTCTCCTCAAAGCATTTTTCCCTTTGAGCTTCTGCAAGAGCACACAACAGCTGTTCTGCATGCAGTTTAAAGCCTTCCTTAGCCCTGGCTTATTAGACTTGTCACTTTGGGGATTGCAATGCCAGGAAAGGATTCCAGGGTTCAGTTTGTTCTGTCTGTAAGACTCAAACCCCATTTGAAAGCCCACTGAAGCAGTAAGTCTACAGCAATACCCCAAACAGGAATCAATAAATCTTTCACCCACCTGCCACATCCCATTTAGATATGTGCACAATAGCTCAAATGGGATATGTTTTCAAGTCTGCTCCAACAGTAGTAGTTGTTTCCTAATGTCTGAACTTAAAGGCTCAATGATTAACTGCTTCCATGGCCAACATCACACTGTCCTTCTTTCCAGATATTTTTGTATTGTTCAAATGCTTAAACTGTTTAAGAGTCCAGGATTAATTTTATAGCATTAGCTTAGATTTAAAAATTCAGGAAAAAGTCAAAGTATGTAATATTATCAGCAAGTCATGTAACATATCTGGTGATCACAACAGAATAGTCTAAAATTATTACTTATATTTGAGAAATTCAGAATATATCAGAGGAGAGTTTCTACAAGGACTATTATTGTAAGGATAAGTAAATGCATTTAAAAATACACCTCAGATTGCAGACAAGTGGCTTACATCCAACTCAAATAACAACACATAGTAAATGAGAGTAAATAACTTACATTTTCATTTGACTATTTCTATATATTTTGAAGGGGTTATGGGTAAATAGTTTCCTTTTCTAAATACATGTAAGTGCTCAGTTGCTGAAATATTTCTGAGTGGGTAGATGCAGGCACAGAGTGATCAATATATAGAAGGTCAAACCATCTGTGATAATGTTGGAACAAAACTCTGCCCTGCCCCAATTTTAAAACAGATTTCCATCACATAGTAATATTTTCTGAGCTTATAATTCAAAC